TTCTCCTGATACAAAGTTCCGAAATCCGGATCCTGAAACCAAAATTCCATCGCGCCACCTCCTCGCATGTTATATTCTCCTGATACAAAATTCCGAAAACCGGACCCTGATTCCGAAAATCCTCCGTGCCACCTCCTCTCATATCATATTCTCCTGATACCAAATTCCAAAATCCGGACCCTGATTCCGAAAATCCTCCGTGCCACCTCCTCTCATATCATATTCTCCTGATACAAAATTCCAAAATCTGGACCCCGAATTCCAAAATCCATCGTGCCACCTCCTCACTGATCATATTCTCCTGATACCTAATTCCAAAAGTCTCCTGATCCCAAATTCCATCGTGCCACCTCCTCACACATCATATTCTCCTGATACCAAATTCCAAAATCCGATCCCCTGTCATTGTTAGAAATTTTGATAACGTCAAATTCCAAAAATTCTCATGTTCTCGTGATACAAATACTCTCTTTCTAATATGTAATTTTTTTTTCTGTGAGGTTTGATAGGTAACAATAAATACACAATGATTGTTGATAAATGTTTCTTTATTTTCACAACATTTCACACAGTGCATAACTTGATTGAACTTATTGTTTAATCGTTTAATTACTAACTCGGGGAGCGCCCCGTGCACTTATCTTAAAAAACCCGCACATTTTTCCAACGAAATCGAAACATTATCGATTATTATGTTATCTGTGGCGCCATCTAGCGGTAGGATATAGGTACTAATGACACCGCTGTTTTAAAAATGTGTAGTTCATCCTGTTCGCCGGAGAGATGGCGCCACCTATTTTAATTAATTAAATTCGCTTTTTTCCGCTAATTAAATAATAATAAGTATCAAATTGCTGCCGCAAACAACATTTTTTTAGTTCTAGTATTTTTGGTAAGTGTTAAAAAGTTATAGGGAGTTTATACATTCAAAAATTGCTTTCGTAATTAATTCGATTACTCCTCACATGTCATCGATTGATGTCTAAGCATTTTCAGGTCCATAAAATGTTGCAATTACAAAATATAAGACTTCTAGCTAACTGAAAAAGCACTTTTCTGACTTTACGGCACCTGTAAAGCAATTTATAATCATCAGTAAACTTTAATTTACAAGAACTTGCATTCTTCCGTTTCGATAGTAACCCGCTTCATCACTAGATGACGCTACCGGTTATTGTCAGACAAAGCGCGCGAAAATACGAATCTTAAAATACGTATTAGTGTGTGGTCTTAAAAATACATACATCTTTATTGTATATCTTTATGTAAATGAACGTTACGGTTACATTTAAAACAGTACTTCCATTATGATTGTAAATCTCAAATTAAAATTCAATTACAGGAAATGTTGATTTACCCTCCCAGAATCCCCTTTCTGAAACATAAGGCGTTTCAGCAATAAAACAGCATACTGTCAAAAATAAACATGCATTTGTTGCAAGTGTATCATCGACCTCAAAAATATCTTTTGTTATTTAGATATAATTCATACCATTACGCAAAAAATGTTGCGGAATGTAGTGATGTGTTTCCTTTGACTGTCATTTTCCCCCAAGGAGGCCATGTTTGGTCCTGAGCATACTTTGCGCATCACTGTTAGATTCAGACAGTTCTTCATAATCACTCTGTTACTAATCTAGTACCAGCATTTCATTCCATGGCTGTATACCTAGTGAACAGAAATATACGCATAGCTGAATAAATGATGCAAGACAAGATATTATGAAACAATAATGTACGGACAAAGTTCCTGCTATAAATATTTTAAGTATCTGCATACACAATGCGAACAATGATGATTTATTAGACAAAAAAAGCAATATCGATCCACGAAAGCTGTAAATTTTCAAATTAAAAACTTTAAGAAGTTGAATGTTTAAAAATATGAAGGAAACTCGCTGATTATAAAAATGCTGAATAAAAGTTCACCGAGTAAACAGGCTTAGCATAATGGACGTCGCGACTGCGCATGTCCATTACTCCTAGTTATGCAGATCGTTACCGCCAATCAGAGCGATCCTGCGCAGAACGAACGAATACGCATCGTCCAATAAGAACACTCCATGGCAACGAGGTCTATAGTTGCATGGAATAAATACGAAGTTACCGTTCTATGACACATGCATTCGCAGGTTGCGCTTGCCATAGGGGGGCACCACTGGAAGAATTACAGGCCCGAAAATTGCGATCCCGCAGTTGGTCTTGAAAGAATGTGGTATGAGGACGTATCGTGATCGTACGTGCGAGATTCGAGTTGTTCCGTAGTGATTGCGCTTATACCGATGCCTGTAACGCTAATAATTCATAATCTCCGATCAAAGTGACGGATAACGCGTAACATTGAGGGGCACCTAAGCCTATATACGGGAATATACGTGACAGTGGCAATTATATATCCGTGACTTCGGTGCGTACGTACAGATCCACGAAAGCATAGCGATCGGCAAGAAAAGTGCGTGTACGTGAGTGAATAGAGTGGCTGAACCCTGATCCCCGCGCCCTTTCTAAATCATTGACAGTAGCGGTCGTGATTTCCTGCGAACGGTTTGACCGATGACGTGCCCTGGACCAGTCGACGAGGATACAAAAGCATTGCATGCTGGCTATTAGGACAAGAAACAAGCCACTATATCGTTACATTTCAACCTTCGAGGTGGGCTGCAGCGACGAGACTGTGGACGTCCCTAGATTGGCGGTAAATACACATTTATCAACAGCATGTCCTCTTCGCTCTCTCTCTTCCCGTGAACCTTGCCTTTCCCTCTTACTTACTGTTTGCATCTTATCGCTGATCATCTATGTTGTGTGCTTTTTTCAGCGTGATTGAACTCGCGACAATTTCCATACCTGAGAGCAGGACTAACCCAAATCTCCTTCCTGTTTAATCGATTTTTGTACAGGAAGCTACTCTTGTTCTGTTTTTTGGAAATACAACGAAACTGGACCAAATCTGGTTGTCTGGCTCTCGTTTACTGATTCGTTTCCGCATTTTCCTTCCTGTTACCATTTACCGTACACCGTGCTTTATCCATTTGCCCTCTCGCCGGTGTCGCGTATTAATATTGATCAGCAGGTCGAGTAACCCGGAGGAAGCGATATCGCCTGCGCTTTTCCGAGCACGAAAATTCTAGACTCCGCCCTGTACCAATTTGCCTTCCGTAATGCTCCTTTGGGACGTATGGCCCCCTTGTCCCGTATTACGAAATTCTTCCTGCAGGCGTTCAAAGACATTCCTCGGGATGATTTACGGCCGTGCAATTAACTTCGAGTCGAGAGGGATCCTCCCATATTTGGGATCTCGTATTTGAAAATCGGCGTAGTTGCTGTTGGATTCAGTCGGGACTGAATTCAGATTCCTGTTTAGTGCAGCAATGAGCAAATCCACTGCCCCTTCAAGAGCTTACTAGCTCGGGTGTATGAAGCGTGTAACGATGATGGAGGGGCAAGGATTATTGTATCCATTTTCCTACTTCTAACAATCAGACGGATATAGTCTAGTCTGCTATGTCTTTATATTACTATAGTGATCCCTAGGTATATTGCCAGTTGATAACAAAATTTTATTTTATTTTATTCTATTTTATTTCAATTTTATTTATGTGAAATTTTTGTTTTATATAAAATTTTATGATTGCTAACAAAGCTTCATAGTACACGAAAATTCATGGACATACAAATTTTCAAGTTTAATACTTTATATATTTTCAAATTATGAAATTTTATTTTCTCGTCTTTATTTTTAAGTATCAAATGTTTTAAGTATACACGTTTTGTAAATTTACAAAGTTTTAATTGCTTCGTGGAAACACTTCTACCTTGTCAGTTCCAAGAATTTGCTGTTACGTTTATGGCAATATAACGAGACTACCACGTATACGCATCGGTGTCCGCGAGTGCACATTGCAGCACATTCATGCCCCACGCCCTCAGGGCCGCAGTAGCCCATAAAAAACGCCTGTTAGATCAACATCGAATGTTTGCAAATACATAGTTCGCTTGCATCGACCTCCCCAAGGGACGGATGACGAACCATTCGATAAGGATGACCGATAAGAATGTCGTGAATACGTTCCTCAAAAGCAACGAGATCAAAGATCCTGCCGGTAACATATCGCGTCGGATATTCACTTTGTCGCAGAAACCGTGCAGTATGCTCTCGGTTGAAAACCGAGAGACCGCGTTTACCGAATTACATAAGTCAATTAGTCTATTTTCAGATAGCGAAAATTCTTAAACAAGTGTAAGTTATAGCCGGTTTATTCGTATGGTATTCGTGACTTCTTTAACCATTGAATCCGCTCTAAATAATCATTTTATAACCCACATTTAAATAACTGAATTCGTTGATTGATGCGGTATGAATAGTAAGAGGTTATGATATAAGTGATGGATATAAATGCGCATAAATTTACTGAATACTTCGATATATGACTCTGTAGATCGTTAGTAGCACCGGACGCATGTGGTGCGTCATCACTTACATAAACTGTATAGAATGCATCCGGTGCGTCACTTACATAAACTGTATAGCGCAGGACGCACGCGGTGCGTCACCACTTGCATAAACTGTATAACATAAGACGCATATGGTGCGTCACTATTTACGTGAACTGTATAGCATAAGACGCATGCGGTGCGTCACCACTTACATAAACTCTACAGTATAAGACGCATGTGGTGCGTCACCACTTACATAAACCGTACAGCATTAAGACGCATACGGTGCGTCATCACTTACATAAGCTGCATAACAGAAGACGCAGAGGGTGCGTCAAGAGTTTGTATGAAACTCTGTATATAACATAAGACACACGTGGTGTGTCGTTTATTACAACAATTATACAGTATTACATATGTATACGTCATTGATTACATGAATTATATAAGACGCATATGGTGCGTCAATACTTATATGAACCATCGTAGACTTTATATGGTGGGTTAATAATTGTGTTACTTAACAGACATGCAAAATGCATTGTTACATAAATTAGAGTACACAGACGCACATGGTGTGTCATGAGTTGTGTCAAATAATGCAAGACGCATACGGTGCGTCGTCAGTTTAGAACACGAGAATCACGTGTTTGCTCCAAGCACAAGAAACATGTGTTTCATCTTTGAATCCTGTTAATGAGTTCCATGCCTCGATAATGTGAAACTGTCCGTGCGGGGGTCATTGTAGACCCGCAGGGATGAAACGTTCGAAAGTTTTACTACGTGTAACACTCGTAACATAGATTATGAACCTGTGTTATTCCAACATATTTTCTCTTCTGCGCTTTAATAACAATTTGTAACTACGATGTGGGGGTCGCCGGTGACCCGCGGAGACGAAACGGTTCGAAAGTTTATTACGTGTGCAACACTTGTAACATTCACTACGAATCTATAGAACTATGAAATATTTTCTCCTTCAAATAAACTTGTAGTGTTACGTACTGCATTTTTTATGCCCTGTACTTTCTCAAACACGACGTAGGTAAGTTTTACATATGTTTTTTATTTACATGCAAGTGGATACATGTGCGCTGTCCGTTAAATTGCAACGAGCTGAGATAAGTGCTTTGTACGAGGTGTGGAGATATTTCGTCTGATTAACTTGTTTTGGGGTGATGCGAGGGAATGTGTTGTAATATGGTAAACATAGATTAGATTTACCGAAATGATTTCGGTGAAGTGTTGTTGCTTTTGAAATATTCTTTCACGTGCATTGGATACGGATTTTATACAATTATATTATTTTTTTAAATTATTGTGTTTGATTTTTCTCGATTCCTGAATACCTAGAATCTCAAATTTGTTATTTTCTACATTTCTGAATTTTTATTTATTAATTCCCTAGTTTTTAATGTTTTAATTTCTCTAATTCCCTAGTTCCAACATTTTATCAATACAAATTCATTAGACTCAAAATTTTACTCTTTCAAATTTCCTAGATACAAAATTTTACACCCCAAAATTCCCTAGATCGAAAATTTTACTTCCCCAAATTCCCTAAGCTCAAAATTCTATTCCCCCAAATTCCCTAGACCTAAAATTTTATTCCCCCCAATTTCTTAGACCCAAAATTTTATTCACTCAAACTCCCTAGATCCAAAATTTTATTTCCCCAAATTCCCTAGATTCAAAATTTTATTTCCTCAAATTCCCTGGACCTTAATTTTTACCCTTTAAAATTACCTAGAGTCAAAATTTCATTCCCCCAAATTCCCTAGATTCAAAATTTTATTTCCTCAAATTCCCTGGACCTTAATTTTTACCCTTTAAAATTACCTACAGTCAAAATTTCATTTTCCCGAATTCCCTAGACCTAAAATTTATTTCCTCAAACTCCTTTATTTCAAAATTTTATTTTCACAAGTTTTCTAATTTACAACTTCCTGAGTTCTTAATATGGCAATATAACGAGTGTCTACATGAAAAACGCAAATAAAGATAATAAATTGTACATGCAAAAATGTAAGCTATGAAAGGCGTAATATTACGTCAGCAACTAACTTTTAAAATAAATTGTATTCAATATATAATAATAGCAACAGTTTTGAATTATTTTGTAATGGCCTTTGAAGTGCCTAATCGATTCTCGCAACATGGCTATTGAACCTTTCGACGTTTAATAATGTGACTGACGTCACATTTCTTCCGTGTTCCACTCGCGATGCACAGCTCTTTTGTTTTCACAAATGTAGAGAACAAAACGGGATTCTCTTCGGTAACGAGCACAGGGTGTCATCACTAAAAGTAGAAAGAGATCATCGCGTTTCACGGCTAGTAAAGTGTACGCATAGCAATTACGATTGGTAAAGCATTTAAGAATCGTTTTACGATTATGCTCCTTTTATTGAATACAAGCGTACCTAAAATACAGTTGCTCCCTGTAATCTTATCATACGACTTCGAAACCTACATTTTATCTTGCGTAAAAGTATTTTATCTGAAACAAAAAGACGCATCGAAATCACGTATCCACGAGATATCCTTTATGCGTATGAGGAAAACATATTACGTATTGTTTAAACATAATCTGAAATTTGATTTACATTGTTTGGGATCAAGTTATTTACTGGATTTCATTATTATTATTTGTTATGCAGATATTTAATTTTTATTAAGTATTCTATTTCTTAAACTGCTACAAGAATTTTATGAATTTTTTATATTTTGCAAGTTTTATAAACGTGTAAGAATTCAATAAAAGTAAATTGTTAGTCATTTATCATTGCGTAGTTATTTATTTTTGTGAAATATTTTGTCTCCTAAACTGCTACAAGAATTTTACACATTTTTCACATTTTACAACTGCAATAAATGTCTAAATATTCATTAAAATGAAATTATTACACGTTCTCCTTCAAACGAGTATTTTTTCCATATTTTTAATAATTTACAATTTCATAAATGTCTATAAACTGTTTATACGTTATTCTAACGTTAAGATATTCTACGCAGTTCTCATTTTTGTTGCTTTCAGTAGCCAGGAAGACCCAAGTCCGGAAACGAGCTGTTCCACTCATTATCCGTCCATTATCGCCCTATATAGCCCCTTATTTGCGATACACTTTAGCCATTACGATCGTGGCGATACATCGAATCGACGACAATCCTGCGATGAGCACCTGTTAACCCAGAAAATGGAATATGGGTCATACGGACCCGGTTAGCTCGAAACGGGTCAAAAGCTGCTGCGATGGC